GGGAATCAGGGACTGAGTCAGCCCACCATTTGCTCAACTGGTCAACATGGTGCTTCATAATATGACCATCAGTAATACATACAATATAATGGCGGGATCCCAAAACATGAGTTACAATTGCAGGTAACCATTTGTGCCCACTTCCATAGTTTCTGGCATACACATTTTCACCTTCGACAAAAACCCTGGGTTGGTCTGTGGACTCACTGTGCGGTGGCCAGGTTGTGGTCAAGTCTGGGTGCATACGATCTAACAGTGTAGTCAGACGCCGACCCATAAGCATTTCGGCCGGGCTCCACCCTATCACGGAGTGTGGCATGACGTGCTGGTGCAGGAGGAACGACGCCCCCTTCTGGCTCCAGTTCCCCTGCACCAGGCGGCTGAGTGCTTCCTTTGTGGTCCGCACCATTCTTTCGGCCTGCCCGTTGGTTGCCGGGTGGAATGGTGCGGATGTGCTGTGCTGAATTAAGTTTGCCGCCAAGAAGTCCTTGAATTCTGTGGCGGTAAAACAGGTCCCGTTATCGGACACAAGAGTGTCTGGCAACCCGTGTGTGGCGAAAATGCGGTGCAGCGTATTGATCACCGTCAGCGCAGTCATTTTTGAAGTAGGAACTACTTCAAGCCATTTGGAATAGGCATCAACAATAATTAGAAATATTTGTCCCTGAAACGGACCCTGAAGCTTGGTCAGTTCCTCGAGGGTCATTACCTCAAAAGCCGGTGCAGGGTCAGAGTCCAGGTCTGGTAGGGGACAGCGGCTGAGGGCGTCAGCATGCCCCATGTTCTTGCCAGGCCGGTGTTCCAGGACATAGTCATACACTGAAAGAACACTGTCCAGCGCAACATCCTGGCTGACGGTACGTTGGGAGTTTGCCAGTCAGGCGCGAAAATCCCAAGGAGTGGCTTGTGGTCCATGGCCATCACAAAAGGCCTCCCATAAAGAAAGTTGTGAAATTTCTTCACACCAGCCACAAGCACCAAGCCCTCCTTATCTATCTGAACTGTGTTAGTTCAAGCCCCGTGCTGGTGTGAGCAGCCAGCCTGTTGTCCCCAGCTCATCGTCCACCCAGCGATTCGAAAGCTTCGACGAGTAGATAAAATGGGAACCACTCCTTAGAGAGGGTTGGCACGCCAATCTCCCTTGTGAGAGAGTGTTAGCTGATGGTCAAACGTCCTGGTCAAGGCTTGGAAGGCGAAACGGCTTCTCGGCTACGAAAGAATCCCTGCAATGCAGGAGGAGAAGGAGGAGGAGGAGGAGATTGGATTTATATCCCGCCCTTCACTTGGAGTCTCAGAGCAGCTTAAAAACTCCTTTCCCTCCCCTCCCCTCCCCACAACAAACACCCTGTGAGGTGGGTGGGGCTGAGAGAACTCTGACACAAACTGCTCTTTTTCAAGAACAGCTGTGCCAGAGCTTGTGACTGACCCAAGGTCACATCAGCAGGTGCAAGTGGAGGAGTGGTGAATCAAACCCGGTTCTCCCAGGCAGCCAGGCGGTGGCAGTGTGTTCCGGCCAGGCGGTGGCAGTGTGGCGATTGACATACGGGTCCTGAAGCCTGGCCGACAAGCAGCCGTGCGGGAAACGACGGAGCCAAGCTAGAAGACGTCTACACCGGGCAGTGACGGCGCGTGCAATTAAAATGAATATATATACAGGGGTCTTGTTGTAGAAAAAGAGCTGCCAGAGCTCATTAGCATAACTCATTAGCATAACTTATTTGCATATGCCACGCCCCCTGACATCACCGGAAGTGACAGAAGGCCACACCCCCTGACATCACTGGAAGTGTGTCAGAAGGCCCGGCTACTTACCCTCCTGCTTCATCCTCATTCCCAAACGGAATGAGGATCGAAGCAGAGGGCGGGGTAAAGAAGGGGGCGGGGCTTCACCACGTGACCGCCCCACCCCCTAGAGGTTCTCTTCCGGAGCTCCGTACCTGAGAGCCCCCCCCCGACTAGAGCCCTGACTCTGCTGCTCCCTCTTGTCCTCACAGCCACAATTACGTCCGTGGGTCTGTCACGCTCTACATCATCAACTTGCACTATATATATGTATATATGTTGTCTTCCCTATCCCCTACAAACATTGTTAGTCCCTTGTCTATATTGAGTAACTGTACATCGCTTTGAGCCCCATCTTTATTAAATAATAGAGCAATTTGGCTAACAGTTCACAGAATCAGCATTGCTGACAGATGGCCATTTAGCTTCTGTGTGAAAACCTCCAAAGAAGGAGGTCTGGAAGTTACTAATCAGGTCAGCCCTGGACTTCCTTGGTGGTTTCCCATCCAAGTCCTAATCCGGTCAGTACTTGGATGGGAGACCACCAAGGAAGTCCTGGGTGGCTTCATATTGGCAGGCAATGGCAGGCCACCTCTGAGCATCTCCTGCCTTGGAAACCCAAGAGGGGATGCCATAAGTCAGCTGCGACATGACAGCACTTTCTACCACCACCAGATCCCTCTCGACTTATACAGTCAGATGACATCAAGAGCATCAGAACAAAGTCGAAGTCCAGTGGCACCTTTAAGACCAACAAAGTTTTATTCAAGGTATGAGTTTTCGTGTGCATGCACACTTCCTCAGATACAATGAAATGGAATTTACCAGTCCATACATAACCAACCTAGCAGTTCGAAAGCAAGAAATTGCAAGTAGATAAATAGGTACCACTTCGGTGGGAAGGGAACAGCGTCCCGTGCGCCTCGGTGTTTAGTCATGCTGTCCGCATGACCACGGAAATGTCTTCAGACAGCGCTGGCTCTTCGACTTTGAAATGGAGATGAGCACCGCAACCCTAGAGTCGGATTCGACTGGCTTTCGAGCAAGGGAAACCTTTACCTTTATCTTACATATAAGGCAGAGGTTGAGCAGCAAATTAACATACAACACAGTGAAGATGTTTTAAGAGATGCAAACAGGAATAACAAGCTAAGTTTATAAGGTCCCCATTGTTTGGATTTAATTCCGGGGGGGGGGGGCAGTGAAGCGATAAATGTGTCAGAACTGGAGATAGATGTGTAAATGTATCATTCTTAATTGTGGAGTGCTAAGAGTAATTAATTACCTGAGACGCTGTTGTTACGCTCCATCTGTCTCCTCTCAAACATGAAGGTTCACCTGGATCTACCAAAAGCATCGATTGGCTAAGCAACAATTAGTTTTTTTTTAATAAACTCTCCTCAAAAGGAGAGAATTTTATTGCTTTAAATTTTCAGAAAAGAGGGAGGGTATATAGAGGGAGTAAGAAAAGTGTCGAGTGATGAGTAAATTAGTATATTAATCTTTTATGAGTATTACTACAGTCCATAGCTTCCACCGTGAGTGGTCGATTTTTCCATTTGCAACATTAGTAATTTATTTTCTTGCATTTCTTGCTTCTTTTCCATTTTATTGACCTTCTTCTTGATTTTCTGTGTATCTTCTGTTGATACCAGACATTTCTTTGCAATCGCCTCCCTTTTCTTGGCTGTATCCGTTAACTGTGTCTGCTGACTGCTGAGAACACTTTCCATGTTCACTAAAGTTTGGCTGATTTTCTGCATCTGATCCAGCAGAGGGCAAAGCATCTCACTCTTTTGATGATTGACAGCCGTGCCGGAAAGGCGGGAGCTGGGACCGGAAGTTACTATCAGCTTCTTCGCTTGCTTTTCCTTCTCCTTGTCCTTTCTCAGCCCCAACATCTTGGCTGTTTGTTTACTTTTATAAAGTCTGTGCCGCACTGCTTGGGAAACAATCCCTTTTCTTCGCTTTAACAGATTCCCCAAAAGGTAACTTTACTTCTTTAAATTTTCACTCCCCCCACTCCATTTACAGTCCCGGTCAAATCAGGGGGGGCTTTCCACCCCCCCACCCATGCGCTCTTTCGATAGGGGGGGAATGCGCTTGTATCTTTTCCCGCGCTTTCAATCGACAACTCACAGTTTGCAGCCATTCACTTTCACTTTTAAACGTTTTTTGCTTCATCACTCTGCAAAGTCCGGTGGCGTTGCTAGTCCCCATGCGGGGCACTGCCGCGGCGGGGCCTCTGGGGCATGGGGCGAGCCTCAATTTCCAACCAATGGGCCGGTAAAGAGGCACTTCCCCGGTGCGCCCCCTGGTTCGGAGCCTTTGCCTAAGGCTCCTTAGGGTCTCCGCTTGTGTGGATCCCCCCTCGGCCGTGTGTGGGTGAATCGACTCCGGGAGCATCCTGAGAGTGCGACCGCTATTCGCGCCGCCAAAACCAGAAGTCCGGCTAAGTAACAATTAGTGACAAAGCAAATGAAAAAGCTGCCCAACACTTTCAGATCACTCACACATGGCAAAGAATGCTTGAGCACAGTGGTTTCAGACACAATAACGCCAATTCATGATGTTAAGGAAACTGTCTGGATTTGTAGCAGTCAATGGCCCTCTCCGCTTCAGGGGATGGCTGATCAATTGGTTGTTTCACACCGGATTTCTCCTCACTGTGATTGTATTTTGTAGACTAGAGCCTGAAAATCCATCCATGTGACTTCTCTGAGTAGAAATCTTTGCATACTTAGGAAGGAAGATAAATCCAGGCAGGTAGCCATGTTGGTCTGAAGCAGTAGAAGAAATGTTGAGTCCAGTGGCACCTTTAAGACCAACAAAGGTTTATTCATGGCATGGCATGCATCCTATTTTGACATATTTATTGCCTCACTGTTTTTGCTCCCTTAATTAAATCAAAATACCTGGTATCCTTATAACCTTAGCTTGTTATTTAGTTTTGTGTTTAAATATCTTAAAACATCTTCACCATGTTACATGCTAATTTGCTGTTCAGATTATCTATAAGTTTGAACTGTTACCTTCCGTTCCAATGTATTTGAAAAAGTGTGCATGCAATACCACGAATAAACCTTTGTTGGCCTTAAAGGTGCCACTGGACTCAAAATTAGGAAGGGGGAGACACCTTTGAAGGGTATAAGAACCTTCTTTCTCTTGGTGTGATCCAAGCGAGGGTAGGTCACTCTCTGATGTTTAGCCCCATTCTGCTATTGGCACGGGTCTGGGGTCACTCCTGTGTTATCGTCTTCCTCGGATACGAAGAAAACATTCGCAAAACTTTTGTTGAACAGAACTACAAGGGACATCTTGAAGACTTGCTGGAATTTCTCCCCAACAAAAAGATAGAGAACGGGGGTGAAACAAATATTGAAACACACCCCAATTGCCCCAAAGATATACAGAACTCGTAATACTACTTCAGGCATGCCTGGAAGCAAAAGCAAAGCAAAGTAGAGGTGGTAGGGAAGCCAGCAGATGAAGAAGGAGGCCACGGCAACCACCAAGACTCTGAAAGGCTTCCTGTTCTTTGTCAACCCTTTCTTCTTCATTTCCCATCCCATCCCACAGTAGCAACCCATGATAATGCAGAAGGGAACCAAGAAACCCAGCAGGAACTGAACCACAAAGAGAGCCAAGTGAACGTGATCCCTCAGGGCATCCATTCCATGACCATCCCAGTCATTGGAGAGAGCATAATTGTAGAGACAATCGATTCTGCCATTCTCTACTACTCGCGGCTCCCTGAAAGCCAGGTAGGGAGCGGTCAGAGTGAGGGAAGTGAGCCACGCTCCTGCAGTCACCCATCGTGCCCGGGAAACGGTGCGGTTATGCTGGGACCAGATAGGGTGGCGGATGAGGAGGTAGCGGTCCAGGCTGATGATGGTGAGGAGAAATACTGAGGTGAATATCCCCAGTGAAGCGAGGGAGTTGATGACCTTGCACAGAATTCTGCCAAAGACCCAGTGGGAGTTGAGGAAGTGGGTGATAGCAAAGAAAAGTAGGACCAAGCAGGCGCTGAAGTAAATGAAAATCAGATGGAGGAACCAGAGGGTATTCACTGTTCTCTTCATCTTCACTCCTAGTATCCAAAGGAAGAGCCCGTTGATCGATGTCCCCACCAGGAAGGATACTAAGATGAAGGTGGCAAGGGCCAGGTTTGTGGGAGTTATGTCGGTTGTAGAGAGGCTGCCATTCGTTCTTGTGGCTGAGGCATTCCCCCAAAGGATAGACATGTTTCCTGAGGAAAGATGGAAAGGAGATTCAGGATGCGATGGAAAGAGAGAATAGAGGAGGGAAGAAGAGACGAGACGCAATTAGAGGCAGAGAATTTCTGGGTGGGTGTGAAAGGAAACGTAAGATTTCAGTCATGTTTATGCACTGTGCACCATGCTAATAAATAAAGAAAGAGGGTGCATGAAAAATAAGCAGCATGCATGTGAATCCAAATGATGTTACCTCAGATGTTAGTTATATCTTTCAGCTGTTCCCCAGTTGTACTTGTGACCAACAGCAGGGTGTGCTGTCTGCTTGGTATGCCCCACAATACCTCAAAGCGCTACAATTAGAGGCGGCACCATATCGCTCCAAGCCACCAGTCTGACCACCAGTCTGACCACCACCAGACCTTGATGGACCAAGAGTGTGATTCAGGACAAGGCAGCTTCACATGTCATGTTTCGTGTGATTCCAAGAGTCTGGTAATCAGAAATACGCTGCCTCTGGTCATGGAAGTTCCACTTGCAAAGTATTCATAGGATTGTCTTCCATAAATGTGTCTTATCTAAGTTGACTTGCTTGACACAGGCTAGCCCAATCTCATGACATCCCAGGAGCTAAGTAAGGTTGACCCTGCTACGTACTTGGATGGGAGAACATCAAGGAAGTTCAGGGTCCCTATACGGAGGCAGGCAATGGCAAACCACCTCTGTTCATCTCTTTCTTTGAAAACTCCAGTCAGCTGTGATTTGACGGCACTTTCCACTAGGGATGGGCACAAACTGAACCGGGAAGCAAACCTGTAGTGAACTTTGCCCTGTTCATGGTTTGCGAACCCGTCACAAAATTTTTAAAGCAGTTTGTAGAAGTTCATGGATAGAGCCTCTTTTGAGCTAAAGGAACCGTACAAGGCTGCCCCCTGCCACTCAGCTGGTTTTGCGGCTTTCTGCAAACCTCATTTAAAGGGACTGCAGTCACTTTAATGGGGTTTGCTGGGGGCTGCAAACTACAAACTATTTCAGTTCGCCAGTGAACCTTCTGGTTCGCTTTGGCTCGTGGTTCTGAACCGAACTGAACTGCATTTCTGCTGTTGGTGCCCCTCCCTACTTTCCACCACCAAGCTAGCAGGGTCTGTTTCAACCTCTTCCCTCTCCATCATTTTCTGGTTCTCTCTGCCCCCTTTTCTAGTCACAAAGAGGAAAAGAAATTGCACAGCAGCTGACATTTGCATGCCACAACACAGTTGGGGATCCAGACCTTTACGGTCTGACTTTAACTTCTCCATTCTAGCGATGAAAGCCCATCTGAGAGATGAGCTCACAAGACAGCTGTACATCTGGCCATTCATAGCCCTTTGCTAGAAGACTTCACTCAGCCCAAAACCTTGAGGTCCCAACACCCACCCTTCTCTGTCTCACCTTTCGAGGTCATGACCAGTGTCTGGGTCAGTCGAGTCCCAAGTACTTCTTCTCCTCTCCTCCGGTCTCTCAGAATATGCCCCACTCAACTGGCAGATTCAAACTACCTGCTTAGAAATGGTCCCCCTCTCGATTTTCAGATGTCTGAATCAAAGGTAATAAGAGGGGGAAGACTACGCCAACCACGCTGACTCTTTCTAAAAATGGCTCTTCTGCAAATGCCACACCAGTTCCTTTTTCTTAGATGTTTTAAGAACCTCTTCACTTTCACAGGAAATCATCATTTCCCAGAACAAGGAGGCAACTTTTAGTTTCCTTTGGGTGAGACAGAACAGGTGACTTAACGGTGCCTTTGCTTTACTGCCAAATATGCAGGCAGATCTTAGGGGGAGGTAAATTAGGGCTGCCAACTCCAGCTTGGGGAAATTCATGGAGATTTGGAGGCAATTTTACTTGTGGATGCTGAAGTCTGAGGGGTGGAGGGAGCCCCAGAGGGGATATGACTCCATAGAATCCACCATGTGATCTAAGGCGAATTTTGGTTGCCAGGTCCCCTTTGGCCACCGGCAGGGAATGGGGGGGAGGGCATGTAGAGTTCTAAGGGAACTCCTGGAGATTTGGGGATGGACCTCCAGAGGATGTTTAGAAAACTAGTAAAGGGACAAAAGTCAAAAAACATCCACAGGCATAGTGAAAAGTACACATGGTTCCCCCCCACCCCCCCAAAAAACCATATAAAAGCCTTGTAGGGACCCAAGTAAAGCCTCATAAAATAACCAAAGTGGACAAATGCACAAATGGAACCACATATGACCTGACACGATTCGGCCCACAAGATCCTTCGTCAGAGGCCAAATAGTACACGCAACAAAGCCCTTGTTACACTCATAAGGCAGTAACCAATTGATACAGAACCAAAAGTGGGATGTTCCAATCTGTAATTGAATGGGAGACAAACACATTTTTGTTTGTGGGGCCACAAATGTATCTGGCCTTGTGTCAGAAGCAGTTACATACACTGGAGATAGTAATAGTGCCAATATGTGCCTTCCAGTTTAGGTCCTAAGAGTACATGTAAAATCGCCTTATCAGGGCCAATGTGACATCACTATGTAACAGATTAGGGGGTGGAGCCTGGAGAGGAAAGGGACTTCAGTGGGGTACAATGCCACAGAGTCCGCCCTCCAAAGCATCCATTTTCTCCAGGTGAGCTGATCTCTGTAGTCTGGAGCTGTAATTCCAGGGGATCCCCAGGTCCCACCTGGAGGCTGGCATCTCTAAGGGGAATTGACCCAGCGCATGTTGGGCGTATCTTGTATTTTGGCCTAGAGACTGGAGTTTGACTGTGAAGGTAACCCTGCTCTGCTTTTCGGGTTCATGATCCATGGTTGGGAACTTGTGTGAATAGCAAACATCAGGCCTCGCAGTGTGCAATTTTCCTGGTTCTCTCCCCACTGCCACCACCACCACCCTTTGTAACTTTCCAGTCCGCTGGTAAGGAAGCAAACTGAGCGAACGGGTTTATGTTGCAAAGAAGATCAGAAATGGTGGCAAAGCGTCCTTGAAAGGTCAGCTGACCAGCACGGGTGACCCAAAGTGGCCAAATATGAGCAACTGCATGCTCAGAAGACCTCATTGCCCACACTTTAAAACTGCCCCCCATCACAGTTGCCAGCTCCAGACTGAGACATTCCTGGAGATTTGGGGGTGGAGCCTCAGGAGCATGGAGTTCGGGGAAGGGAGGGACTTCGGTGGAGTCCTTTTGCTGTGGTTTGCCCTCCAACGCTGCCATTTTCTCAAGAAGAATGGATCTCCATCACCTCCACTCGGAAACGGGCAACTCTCATCTTGGGGTGACCACATACTGCTGCAGCGGGCAGCTTATTCCCAGCTTGTTCAGAGTGGGGGAGTTTTCCGCAGTGTCAAATTTCTCCCTGCCTGCTCTTCTATTCATCTGTGGATTTCCCTCATTTCCCCAGATGATTTCTTCCTCCCAGGCGCAAAAACGCAGTTTCCCCCCTCTTCCGGCGCAGCATGGGAATCCCTGGAAACAGAATATTCGGATGTCATGCACCAAGAGGGGAGAACCTGTATTGTAGCACCTGGGAGGGAGAAATCACCTGCAGAAATCTGGGAAATCCGTGGATGAATAGAAGAGCAGGCAGGGTAAAACTCGACACTGCGGAAAACGTCACAGTGAGAGAGCAGCTGCTTCAGTCCCTCCATGGCTGAATCCCATTTATCGAGCTCTCGCTGAATTTTCGGGTCGCCACTCCCACCCAAAGATAGCAGTACTTGCAGAAGGGAGGGCTTCTCTGGAGGAGAAGGAGCACTGAAGACTTACACGTTTTTGTAATGTCTTCTTTCTTTACAAATATACAGGTGGAAGCAAAGCAGATCCACTGTCTCACCTCAGATCCCAGATCTGGGGAGCAATGTTCCCTCTAAGCTGCGGAGTCTTGTGAGCAAAAATTCTACTTTGTGAGCTACTGGCATTAAAGTTGTGAGCGAGCGATTCGTTTGCTCTGGAGCCATCCGTGCTGAGCTAAGACAAAAATCTGTGAGCTGGAAGCTGAAAAACTATGAGCTGACTCACACTAACTCAGCTTAGAGGGAACACTGCTGGGGAGGGAGATCTTGCGCCCCCCCAGGGGACTCATCTTCCAGACCCACTTTTTAAAATGGAGACTCAAAGCAGATCACAAAGCTCAAAAGCAAACCATATATAAAGATTTTTTAAAATGATTACAAACATTTAAAAGGACACCACCGCCCTTTGTGTCTTCCAGCGCAGTCTCTTCCAGATGTAACACTAGCCTCGTTCACATGTGACAAGGAATGCACTTATATCCTGCCGGTACACTCGTACATCTGTTTGCATGAAAGAGTCAGTGTGTGTTCACTTGACAAATGAAACCGGGGCCCGGCACCTGGATGAATGTGAGGCTTGAATCACAGGTTCAGCTGTACATACATTGAACGTAGCATGAGAATTATTCAATAAACATACAAAGAAAAACCAGGTGTGCATTCTACATGGATTGTACATGAAAGAGAGCGAGAGGGAGAGAGGGAGAGAGCATCACTGGTAACTGCTGAACAGGGCCACAGCTACTTATTGAGAACTTCCTGCATGCCGCCTTTCCAGAGACTTGTTCTTTCTTAATACATATTACCTTCCCCTCATATGGGATGTGTCACCTCTTTTGGGAAACTGACAGAGCTATCATTGGACTGTCTTCTTCTGTCTTAGGTCTGGCTCTTGCATGGGCTAACATTCTTGGGTGGTGATGGAAAGTGCTGTCAAGTCTCAGCTGACTTGTAACCCCATTTTACAACCCCTGGTTTTTTTTTTTTTTTGTATTTTTCATATGCACATGTGTGTGTGCATGTGTGCGCGCGTGCGCACGTGCCTGGATGTCATGGTGATGACTGGTGACAGACTGCGTGTGCAGCTGGAAGTCATGGAGACCTCTGGCGACTGACCCCTACTCGGGGGCTGGAGGATATTCAGAAAGGTAGCTGAATAAAGCCTGCCCCCGCCTCCCATCTCTGGCATTTCGGGAGGTCTCCCACCTAAGTACTTGCCAGAGTGGACCCTGCT